TTGTTCTTTAATATAATCAACCATTTGGTTTAGTTGATTTTCATTCATTTCACTTGAATCTTGAACTCCAGGAGTGTCAATAACAAACACATTCTTTCTCTCACCTTCTCCATTATATCCAATCGTCTCTTGTGTTTTTGGTGCAGAACTATTACTTACATCAAATTTAGTGGTTTTAAGGATAAAATTCCCAAGTGAACTTTTACCATCTCCTATTCCTCCAATTAATACCATTTTAGCTTCTTTTGAATCTCCTGTACTCATTGATTATTATTGAGTTGTTATTTGTTTAAATAGTATTTGGAAATGACAGACTAGAATTACAATTTATTTTAAATGATGTTTGTTATTTTATTTACAATTTAATATTCTCGTTTGAAATTATTACTTATGAAATTAGTTTAAGTTAAAAATAATGTTAGTTGTAATTGTAAAATTATTTTAATGCCATTAAAAATACCGAATAAAGTATAACGCAGTTAGTAAAATTTAATAACCATTTTTGTTAAAAGGTTAAAAATAACCATTAGTTTGTTTACAAAACAAATACAAAAAATATTACCTGAATTTTTATTATACTTTTTGTTTAAAATTGCAATTTCATAAATTAAAAATAAACAATTTTATTTATATTTATTATGAATAACATTACAAAAACATCTCTATGAAATGAATCTTTTTTACTTAATTAAAAATTTATTCAATTATTGCTTATTCTTCTTTTCCATTATAACCAATTAATCGTTAATAATTGAATTAAACGATAATTTGGCAATATGGGGGTAATATTTTGATAATGTATTTATGGAAAATGTAAAAAAGAATACCTGTATGATTTTCATGGTTTAATTATATTTTTAACAATGTTATTTGATTTATAAATTTGTGATAGTTATTAACATACAACAAAAGATTGGTATTTTATTGAACATATTATCCAATTTATCTTGATACCATTAAAAAGAATTAATTAATAAATTAACTTCTCGATAACAACAATTAATAAACAATGACTTAATATATTTCAATTTCTTTTTATTATTTATTGCATATTTTTATTTATAATTTATAACTTAACACATATTAATATTTGTTTAAAATAAATCATTTTATCTGTTTTCTTATTCATTATATTAATTTAATTCAGCTTAATGTTTTATGTGTTATGTTTTCAATTTATGTTATGGTTATACCTATCACTTAACAGTTATAACTCTCATATATTTACACACAGTAAAATAGAGATTATTGCTACATTTTTCCAATTAAAACAACAAATAAATTTAAAAACGATAGATTAGGTAGTGTAAGTTTCTAACATCTCTTATTCATCATGTTATGATTTAAAGTTATAACAACTTATCACGACTAAGAACTCCACCTACTACACCCTCAAACTTTCTATCTCCAATTTCTGTTTTCAACCGTTGAAGATCTTCTTTTGAAGCACCAACAAGATTCTTTGGAATTTTTTCATTTTTGGTTTTCTTCTTTACATCAACCCATTTTGTGTAAGTAATACTTCCATCATATCCAACTCTTTTCTCTCTTTGCTTCTTAGTGATTGATAATTCCATGTAATCATGTTTTAATTCAACCACTTTTGTTTCTTGTTTCGTTTCTACATAAGTATCATGAAATTTTATATTTTTTACTTCTTTAATTTTGAAAGAAGGTAAAGTACGTACCCAACTCAGCATTGATATAATTTCATTCTCTGACCTACTGTTATCTACTAGTTCATCTGTGACAGAATCTACAAAATACATTGGTAAAACAAAATTTGAATCTCCAGTTGTTTCTTCGGCTAATTTTAACAAATCGTTTTTAAAGCTTTTCTTTTTAGATTCAATCATTCTATCAACCACGCTTTGTGGTGTGTAATAATAACATTTAGTCCATACAACACAAACATGTTCCCAAAATTCATAAAGTGGAAAAATATCATGTATAATATGAATCATTGTTTTGATACTATTTAATAATCGAGGACTATTAATATCTAAGCATATAACAATAGCTTTTATTCCACTTTGTGATTGAATATATTTTACCATTTGTTTAACATTATCATTCTCTTTTTCTTTACCGTTAGGATCATTAAAACCAGGTGTATCAATAACAAATACATTCCTTCTATCACCTTCTCCATAAACCCCACTTGTTTCTTGTGTTACTGAATTAGCACCACCACCAACTTTAAAAACATTGACTTTCTTCTTCAAGATAAAGTTACCAAGAGAACTTTTACCACTTCCTGTTTCTCCAATTACTATTAATTTAGTTTCTTTTGTCCCACTTATGCTCATTGATTATTATTCAGTTATTATTTCTTTAAATAGTATTTTACTGTGACAAAAAGTATTTATAAATTTGTTGAATGATGTTTATTATATAAAATATTTTTTTGTCTGAAATAATTATCCAACCCCGTATTCTTAGAATACCCCTTGTACGTTTCTTTATTTAACCAAAAATAACAATTTATTTTTATCGAATTTTATATAAATAATATTTATTATTTTATTAAAACATTTCTTTTAATTCTTATAGCGTGTTTATGTTTAATTTTACATTAAATTTATTTTTGGTTTAACCAATTAAATAATTATTCAAAGCCAAATGACTTTTGTTTGTTTGAAATGTAAATTAACAAGAGCTAAATATAAATAAACAGGTTTGTGATAAAATATTTGAACAAAAAGCGATAAAATAATTTCACTCAACATTCGAAATATGTTTACCATATCAAATCATAATTGTTTACTATAAATGAATTATTATTTCTCTTTTTTAAATAATAGGAATTTTGTTCGTTATTATTTTAAAAACCAGTTTGCGTGATGTCGATGACATTATTTTTAAATAACCAGAATAAAAATTAATAATTATGAACATTTGATTATGTTTAAATATTTCTAATTATTTGTGTTAAACAAGAAATATGAATATTGTTTTTTATTAGAACATTTTTCATGTCTATTAAAATAACACCATTAAGTTGTTTTATTCATTTTATTGTTTATTCTGAGATAATGACTATTTTCTAAGTACTGTCGTTAATAACAGTAAGGTATTATTAAAAAACTTGAAATTATTTGTTGTATTAAATTCGTCACATCTTTTTGTTTTAACTCGTTCAAAACTTTCAAAAATGCATATTTATGTTATTGAAAACAACATGATTTATAAACTATCTTTGTTATGGCTCTTCTGATATAACACATGGAATATAACTCATTTTTATATAAATTTTAATGACATCAATTCAAATAATCAAAGAGTGAATTATTTTAAGTATTACTCTATTATGAAGTAATTTTTAAGCCATCTTATTAACCAACACAAGAAATTCTTTAGTGGACTGCTATTTGTGTTATTAGCTACTACTTCCCATTCTCCACAATTAATTATTCCGTTATATCCAATTCTTATTTCTCTTCTCATATATTTGACTTGTGGTATTATATTATTGTCACTTTCTTTTAAATCCTCTCGTCGATGTTTTTCTTCTATGATAGTTGCTTTATATTCAGAACCTTTTATTTCTGGATTTCTATCAATTTCAATTTCACCTAAACTTCTGGTTTTTGTTATAAGTCTTTCAATCTCCTCCTTTGATCGACTGTTATCTTCTCCTTCTGGTTGTGAGTCTACATAAAACATTGGTGGCATATTAATAATTTCTTTCCTCGTTGTTATTTCTTCAATACATTTCTTTATTTGATAATTAAAAAATTCTTCTTTCATCTTCTTATGACTCTCTATTACACTTTGTGGTGTATAACAATAGCACTTAGTCCACACAATACAAACATGCCTCCAAAAGTCATAAAATGGAAAAATCTCACACATAATTTCAATCAACGTTTCTAAGTCATGAGAAAGTACATCATTATTAAAGTCTAAAACAATAATAATTGATTGTATCCCTTCTTGTTCTATAATACACCTAACCATTTTATTTAACCAGTTTTCATTCTCTTTACTTGTGTCTTGAAGAGGAGGGGTGTCAATAACAAATAAATCACTTCTATCACCTTCTCCATAAAACCCATTTATTTCTTGTGTTACTGAATCAGCACCTTCACCAACTTTAAAAACATCACTCCCCAAAATAAAATTACCAAGTGAACTTTTACCAACACCT